CAACAGGAAGGTGGTGATGACTAGCTGCGTTTTTTTTCTATATTTCATACATGCCCATCCTTCCTCTCTATCTGCATAAAAACAGACACAGTGTTTTTTAAGACCTCTGTCTCATTTGTCTGGGAAAGATTAGAAGCATAAAACGAAAGCAATATGTTTCTTTGTAACGGTAGATTTCAACAAAACAAAACAAAATAAACGAGCTTTAAAATATCTGGCTGTTTGCTAGAGACAAAAACAACCTTGTGCTTGTGTTGTTGGTGTAAATGCGGCAGGCTGCTTGAAGCAAAATGCGTCCATGGCATGCAACTGTTTTAGTGTACAGTTATTATAAATGTATAAATAAACCTCAGGTCAGGGCCGTGCACAGACCTTTTGAGGGGCATGTGCTGAAACTGAAAAATTATGAGGTTTAATGACAGTTTGAGCGGATCCAACAAGATTTAGTCATGAGCTCTTTTTAATACCTTTCATTAGCTAAATATTTGTAAAGCAGACAGACAGATGTAAAGGGTGACCAATATCATTGATTGAAGGGAAAAAAAAAACACCATCACCAAAAAAAGGGCACTTTGGAGTGTAAGGGCAAAAAGGGCATGTGCTCTGCACAGGTTGAGCCCTACCTGTGCACGTGCCTGCCTCAGGTTATGGTTGCAACCATAGATGCATTTGTGCTGCATTTGGAAACTTCAGACATATCAATGGCGCTGGTGTTTTGGAGAACTGCTTGCATGGAAGCCAATAGAGATGATGCCCCAGTCCACTGAATAAACTGCTTTGCAAAAAAAAAAAAATATATATATATATCTATATCTATATATTGTTTTATAAGAGAGGCCACGTGATGCATTAGTCTCTGCATCTCTATGGTTGAGCTCAAATAATCAAACTGCACTACAGCTAATATCTTAGTTTAATACATGCTCATTTTATGGTTTATATTTAATAAAAGAAAAGAATATGAATGATTGCTGCCATATATTATACACTACGGTTTAAAAGGTTAGTGTCAAAAGAAGTCTCTTATGCTCATCAAGACTAAATTATTAGATTAAAAAATACCATAAAAACAGTAATTCTACAATTTTACAATTCTACAATTTAAAATAGCTGTTTTCTATTTTAATTTATTTTAATATGTATTTTATTCCTGTGATGCAAAGATCGATTTTCAGCAGCCATTACTCCAGTCTTCACTGTCAGTATTTGAAATAGAAATCTTTTTTAACATTATAAATGTCTGTACTTATTGTCACTTATGATTAATTTAATGTGCCCTTGTTATATAAGACTTGTGGAGAGAGAGAAAAATACTGACAGCAAACTGTTGAATGGTAGTGTATAACCTACTGACTTTTTGGACTTTTGTCTTATTTACAATATACAGAATGGTCTTTAAAAATGTCCACTATTTTAAACACCTTTTTGCTTTCACTAATTTAGCTACAGAGTGACATGCATTTTTAAAAGTACTAATATTTTGTCTCTTAATTAATATAGTTGCATGCATAATTATACAAATTGAAAAATGCAGTATATAGATTGTCACACCGCAGGCCATGTTAACTTAAGGTCATGCATTTGAAGTATTTCAGGCCAGATGTCAAGTCTATTGCTATTGCTCATAGAGACTTGTCAATGGATGTTCAAACTACAAATCACATGATTTAAAGAAATAAAGGAAAAGGTGCTGTCAGTGCTTGGACTGCACTTCTTTACACAAGAACACAGACAATCAAATAGCAATTAGTGGCTATATTGTGCTTTCATGTTAAACTGAGAGGAAGCGTGGCTCTTGAAATGCCTGTCGACATTTAATTTGACCGCTCTGTCTCTCAGAATGGAGGGTCTGCTCCTCTCGAGCTGTTGCCTCAAGTGTTGACTTGACGCTTTCAAGTGTGTCTGTCTGAGGTCACCGAGAGTGTTTTACATCTGCGTGTATATTACAATCACCAAAGAGTAAAAATTAAATATTGGAACAACTCGCGTTGTTTGAGCCACCTTGTCCGCCGTACAGTAATATATCTCTATGTAAATACATTTGTCTCAGCTATTAAGTGAAGCTAGAAATCAAATCAATGCATAAATCAGTGCTTGTTATGATTGTTTCTTGTGATTGTACTGTCAGAAATATCTGCTGTGTAACCCTGCCCATCAGAGCGCTGCAGTAGACGAGCATTTCTTTCTCAATGAGAGCGCATCTCAAGTCAGGTAACCACTTTAGCTTCAATTAATAGTTTGAGAAATGGCTGTACTTATTGTGGCCTCAAAAAACATACTTTCAACCACATTTCACATTTCGTTAGGACACTTTCGTTAATGAAATAACCTGTAATTACTCTGATAGGACACCTGCGTGAATTAAAATTTATTGCAGTAATTTTTTGTTTGTAATGTAATGCAATGAGAATTAAATTATTTTAAGTGTGATAAAATACTTCTAAAACCACTGTATATAATATGCATTGCACAGGGATTATTATAGTTAGCTAATTCTAAAAAAAAAAAAAAATTACTTGAACAAAAAAAAAACCTTTAAAATAAAATAAAAACTTAAACTTATTTTATTTTAACTAGTTGCCTAAGCAGCATTTCTCATTTTCATTTAGTTGATTTTAATGTACTAAAATAACTAAAACTTAAATAAAAAAGAATAAAAACTATATAGAAAAATGTAAAAAATAACATTTTAAATTTTAAAATTAAACCGATAATAATAATAATAAAAAAAACTAATAAAAATTACAAAAACACAGATGGAAAACTAACTTAAATTAAAATTAAAATGAAAACAGGAAAAACATTTAAAAAAAAAATATTAATAAAGCTATAATAGTATCTCAATGATACTAAAATAACACTAGTGGGACCTGATTTTGAGTTTTTTTCCCCGATAGCTAAAATCTTAGATAACTAAAAGAGATAACTTTCATTTCTGCTTTTTGAAACAATACATTTCATCGGACTACAGCAATAACAATGTTCATCATCATCATCATCATTGTTATTATTCATTTTGTTGAAATTTCTGATAACCAGTATGCAGAACTGATTTTTAATTTGCTTTATTTAGGCTTTTTGAAACTATAATAAATATGATGGATCTGCTACAAATGATTATTGCTGCAGTCCAGTAATATTAATTTATTCTTGTTAATTGTGCTAATTATGAATAATAATAATTATAATAATAATAAAAAAGCTGCTTAAGCAGAAAAGTTTGGACAGTGTATGTGTAATGCAGAAAAAAACATTGGTCAAACAAAGCAATTAATGGTGTGTTAATAAGCAATCTCTAGTGTGAAGTGTGAATTGCCTTCATTTATGCTGCTGTTTGAATGTCCTTGACATTTTCAGAGAGATCTCCAGATATAAGCCTCTCTCTAGCAAGACATCTGTGCATGTGATCACTGGGGGATCCTTTGATGATCAGCTTCCTTCAGATCTCAACCAAGTGAGTGTCTTTCACAGTCCCACTTTCTACCTTCATTTCTGAACTTTAGTTAGTTTTAATCAAAGGCAAATCCTTTGCTGAACGTCTCATTAACTGTCAGGTGGTTGCTGAACTTCAGAGCAAGTTTTTGGAGCGCTCTTATCCCAGTGCCAATCACATTCAGATTCGTGGGGCGGATCGTCACATGATCTACAAAAATCCATCCTCGCTTATCAAACATTTGCATAAGCTCGTGTCACAAAGGCAGTCCAACCAACAGAGGCAGTGAGATGCTTCAGAAAATGCAGCCTCTCTAATAACAAAAGATCAATAACAGCTCCTTCCCTGCAGCTGTCACATACTCTCTTCAGTGATGCAAGAGGCCAAATAACAGCTTCATATTTCTGCTTACAATGGAAACTGAAATCTCTGTAGTTTGTTTGTTGATGGATTGTACATTTTGGTGAACTGCTGAAGACATAATTTAACTGCATTTAACTGTACTTATTTTTTGTCAAAATGCCTTTTTATTAATGCGATTAAAGTCAAGTAAATGAAACTTGTCATGAAGTCATATGTCACGCATATTTCAGATTTCTTACAAACAATACTTTATTTAGAGGCCAAAAAGGTGCAAAAAATGCAAAAGTGTTCAGTGCAAAGAAAAAACATTTTCGATTCACATTGCCATCAGTGACATAACATATAATAGTCCTCCTGATTATATTTCAACTCTATTTATTAGCCTCTAAATAAAGTATTTTTGTAAAAATCTACCATTATGTGTGCTCCACTCCTTGTTGAACCTATGCACAAAAGTATTTATGTACTAACTCCAGTATTTCCAGTAAATGTAGAAATTATATTTTGCTTAAAATAAGAAAAAGAAAAAAAAACTAGGAATTTATTTGCAGCATTGAATTTTTTTCTATTTTTAAAATAATTTTTTTATATAATTTATAAAAAATGTACACACATTCACACGTTTCCCTTTTGATGAGACCTGTAAATGTTTCCGTTAGACATCCTGAAAGAAGACAATAACATGGTCTGTTTATCCTGAGGATTGAAGTTTAATTGACACCACATCAAAATAAAAATTTCCAACAGATCCGGAATTTTATTCCATCCATATACATGCATAGCAACAACATTTTTAAGAAATATTTTTCTTACATAAGGACATTGGAATGATAATTTTTACAGTAGTCCCTTGTCTCATCCCACCCATCAATAATCACCATTGATAAACCTGCTTTTTGTACAATTTCATTTTTTTTTCCAGGAGTAAGAAATAGCTGCTCTTCCCCCTTTATAATACTGCTTTCCGTAATGTTCCCGCCCTCCTCCTTTTTTTCCTTGTTTTTTTTTTTTTTTACTGTTCATTTTCTTACTGAAAGACATGAATTTTGCTTGTATAATTTTTTTAAACAGTTAGCGAGTCTTATGTAGGACGGTGTTTGAACTGAAACGTGCTGGCCATTAGCCTACATGAAATGCATCAATGCAATGATAATTCACCACATTCATTACTGATAAATCAGTTATGTAAATGGGAGAGACGGACTCAGTAGTATAATTGCAGCAGGTGCACAATAAGTTTTCGTATACATGATATCACTGCTGGTGGGAAGGGCCCCATCTCGTTCTTTGCGTGGGGGCCTCTAAGATGTACGGTACTGTCACAGAGGCGGCAATACTTCCCACTGCCTGCTGGCAGTGCTGACCCATTTATGCCTTTTCCGGCAGGTGTGGATTCCTCCACAGGTGATTTCGAAGTGGGCGATACATTCTCGTTTGGGTCGGGAGGGTTCTCGGCTCCCCACGTGGGAGAGGTTTGTTCCTCTGGTGATGAGGTGTTGTGAGGCTGATTCTCTTGCTGGGGAGTTTCTGGTGTCTGGCGATCCTCTTTATGACCACCGTTGACAATCACCATGCCCCTGTTTTTGGGCAGCGGCTCCTTGCCGGGATGGGGGCAGCCATTGGCCGCAGGTGGTTCTGTGCCCGTCTCACCTGCGCCGTTGCTGCTTTGCTCTTGTTCGGCCGCCTCACCCTGCATAACGAGACTCCCTGCCATGTAGTCGCTGCTTTTTATCCCGAAATACGGCGATATTGGCTCTGTACCTTTCATCTTCTTTATTGCTCCAGGATAGAGACAGTGAGGCAAAAACATGTTCTTGTTCTCATCTTTCGAAGTCATGAGCAATGCATCACCGAAAGCTTTCTGATCCGGCGCCGGCCCGAGGTGTGGCGGAAATATGCCTCCGTTTTGCACCATCAACTTGTTGCCAATGTTTTTCTCACATTTCACAGAACTCTTATCATAGATGTCTTCTGAATTATTGCCTTCGCTCTTGACGCCCGGGAACATCGGCTGCTCCAGACTGCCGATCTCGCCATGCTGAGCAGATGTGAAAGGGCAAAAGTTCTGTTTATGGGCAAGGTAGTTCTCCACTTTGTTAAAACTGATCTTGCACACGGTACATTCGTGATAGTCCAAGAGTTTTTTGGGGGAGTTGCACGACTTGTCAGGAAGAGGTGAGCTCTTTTTGCTGAGATCTATCGGAGCATCTAGTTCATGTGGGTCTGCACTAGTGTTACCTTTGTGGACAAGGATAGGCTTGGAAACGGTAAGAGAAGCATCTAAGTGTTTCGGGACAAGGCTTGGAAAGATGTCACATCGTGGATGGAAGCGGTCAGCCAGACTTTCTACCGATTCCTGGGATGTACAGGGATTTCCTAGAGTGGGCATGCCCAAGAATCCTGGCTGTGGCCCCATGGGCTGCCGTTGCTCTTGGTCAGGTAGACACATCTCGTACATCTTTCTCCGCTTGCGCGTTCTCATGGTCCGCTGCATGGCGGGCACCTTCGCGGACATGCGTTTCATGGGTGGGTCATGGCGAGTGGCGCAATAGTACTGCTTGTGAACCATGAACGTTTCATGCCGGCTGAAGGTGATGTTGCATGCTTCACAGGTGGTCTTGTTTGGGTCATTGTCACCATCCACCAAAGACGTGCTGGGACTCTTCACCTCAGGCTGTTTTCCGCCGAGCCGTTCCTCAACTCCTGTTGGTGTAGTAACCTTCTTTACTTGCCCAGGAAGGTCTTTTTCTGGCACTTTCCCACCAGCGTTCATAATATCCAAAACAGATGAATTCAAGCAAGCTGTTGTCACGAGATGACTGTCAGTTTCTGATGGAAGGCATCCGGGGAGCATACCGACCGAAGTGTGGCCACTGTTTGGACTTATGGCATCGGACACCTTGTCCGGAACACTGGAGAAATCTGGAGACTTCGCCATGTGCTGCCAGCGACTGTTGCAGTAGTGCTTCTTGTGAACTAAGTAGTTGTCTAGATTATTGAAAGTGATGTTGCATTCAAAGCAGGTCGCTCCTTTGGGCATGAGAGGACTGTAGATGACAGGAGGGTAGCTGTTCCCTCCATGGCGTAGCCTGCGATGCACCAGCTCTGACATTTTGGCTAGAATCTCAGATGCTTGTGGTACCACAGAAATGTCCTGGGAGAAAGCAAACTGTGACAGGAATGGACCCATGGGGAAAGTTGGGCCCATGTTGTGCTGGACCGGCGAGGAGGCTAGCCGTGGACTAGAGGGTTCCGACTTGATTCTGGTGTAAGAGAAACTAGCCTTGCTTCCTGGGTGACTTTCTCCCTTCTGCAGGCCGAGTGTAGGTTTTTTCTCAGGTCTTTCGAGTTCTCCATCAGGGCTGTTGGCCTTGTTAGGTATGCTTTTGGGACTTTGCATAACCACATCCTTCCTGCCCGACAGTTCTGCTCGTGCCGCCTGTAGGCTTTCCTCTCCTCCTCTTGGGGAGTTCTCGCTGTCGCTCTCCCTGTGAATCTTCCCGGAGTGTCCGTGTAAGTCTTGATGCTGCAGCAGTTCCCTGTGGTTCTGGAAGCTGATGTGGCAGTGATTGCATCTGAAGGCTGCCTGCGACAGGTGTGAAAGGATGTGGTGCTGGAATGTAAGGAGTGAATCTGCTGTGAAGTTACAGATTGTGCATTTCAAGCTGGTGCCAGGGGGAAGAGACTCTTCCATTTTGACAGCTGTGAGAAAGAAAAAAGACAGTTGTTTTTGTTAATCTTGCATTTCCACTAATTTTACATCTGTTTCCTAGACGCACATTATTGCCTGATGAAGATTATTTGATCTAACCTTAATAAACTGCTAAAACTGTAATGGTTTCTTGATTTTTTACATGCAAATATAGAATTTTAGTTCATTTTAATATTAACATAAGCAGGCTTTTGGCTGTTGCAGATCAAACAACCTAAAATGGCACTGAATGTGAAGTACAATGAAATAGAATAAGGACAGACATATATTATTATTAATTTATATTTACTATGTATTTATTTTGTGTGTATATAAATAATAGTAAAATATTAATATAAAACAATATTATTAATATCATTATAATTATTATTAATCATAATAATATTAAATAAAATTAATTCAACTTTCTCTGATATATTGGTCACAAATGTTGGAGTTCCTCAAGGCTGCGTAAGTTCCCCCCCTCTTTTTACATTATATACAAATGATTGTAGAAACCAGTACATAACTATATTATCAAATTTTCAGATGATACAGCTATACTTAGTTTGCTGACAAAGAATTCAGATGTCGTTATGTATAAATTAGAGATAGAAGGGGTTGTGCGGTGGTGTGAGGAACACAACTTGATGTTGAATGTTAAAAAAAAACTAAAGAAATGATCTTTTGAGATTGGTGGGTGATCATAGTCCAATTTTAGTTAATGAGGAGGAAGTTGAGCAGGTAACAACTTATAAGTATTTAGGTATTTACTTTGATTCTCAGCTGCAATGGAGTGATCAAGTGGACTATGTTTGTACACGAGCTAGTCAGCGCCTGCATTTTTTGGGAAGGCTCAAGGTTTATGGGGTGGACAAAAGTATCAAGTTATTGTTTTACAGATCAGCTTTTGAATCCATAATATGTTATGGTTTTACAATGTTTTGGCAATTTCACTGTTAAACTTAGATCACAACTTCAAAATGTGGTTAGAAGAGCTGGAAAAATAATTGGTATGTTGTCCCCACTTTCTCTTCAGGACATTTTTGAGAGGTCTGTTAGGAAACAGATTCTTAAAATTATTGGTGACCCAAGCCATATTCTCCACAAGGAGTATGAGCTGATGCCCTCAGGCAGGAGATATAGGGCAGTGTTTCCCAACCGGGGTGCCGTCTGTCGAGAGCAGTACCACATTGTAAGATGAATAGGTACAAATTTTCTCTAATTCCATTATCTATCACATTTTTAAATAATAAGTGACTAAAATTGTTGTGTGGGTGAGGGTAATGTGATGGGTAATATGTAATGTTGGTGTATTATTAGGATTGTGTAGGAGTGTAATTGAATAAGTGTATTGTTGTATGTTTGATCTGCTCTCTGGATTGCAAATTTCTGGAAGACAAATTTCTCCTGAGGGAGATAATAAAAGAGAAACTAAACTAATAACAATCATCATCATTAATGTCCAGGTTGGCTGAGTTTCAAATAATATTAAAACATGTTTAATTTTATAACAGTTTAATGTTTAATGATATTCTACCCTTGTACTATATGTTTACAAAACCGAAACATAATTGACTAAGATTCAAGATTTGATATGCAAAATAGGAATGGGTGATGAGTGAGCTAAATGTGCAATGATGGTCAGAAATAACAATTTTTCTAACTGTCAAAATGCATTGAACTTATGATGCCATCATACTCACCACTGTGTGAGCTCAAGTGCATCTCCAGAGCACGAGGGTTGCTGAAGCTCTTGTTGCATTGTGGGAAAGGGCAGATATTGGGAGTTTGGTGGGAATTGGCGTCAGTCTCTTCAGAGACGTTATCAGGTTCCCTCTGCCGCCCACTGCAGTAATACATCAGGTGGGCCTGAAGGTTCCTCTCACTCCTGTACCATATCCCACACGCTTTACAGGGGAAGATGTCCTCTGAAACACAGAGACAGGCATGTGAAGGCAAACCTACAACAGTTCTGCTGAGTGTTTAATTTGACACATTATGAGCTTTATCAGTAGCATTTATGCTGCCTCTAAAAAGACTTAAAAGTCAAAAGGTGCAAACACACCTTTTGCAAAGAAGTTAATTTATTATTGAAATTCTCAACATTTGGCTATGGAATGGCATTTCTTATTCATACTTCTTCAAAAGTGGAAGTAGAAGAGAGAGGAATGGTGCAATTCCTTACAAATTCCATTCCTATAGGGGATATATCTGAAGGGGCGTCTGGAGTGTTTGGGACGTCTGAATGATCAGTTCACATGCACGGCTCAAATAACAGTTTTAAATGACATTTCTGCTGTGATGTTGCATGGCAACAGAGATGATTCCAGTAGGCTTGTGCCCTTTCCTCAAGGGCAAATGAAAACATTGCACCATCTGCTAGCAGCATCCTGTGTCAAGCTGAACTCTAGACTTCCCTGATAAAGTCAACAAACAAAGTATTTGCAAATGGCTTGAACTTTGCAATTACAAGGTTGGTCAGAGTCCAGATATGTTTACTGTACCCCTAAACTGAAGGGCAGAACATCACATTCCTCCAGCAGAGGTTAATCTGTGAATAACTCCAGCATCCTCTGTTTTCAGGGTAATACGTGCGTGTGTAACACATTCTGAACTGGCTCAAACGATTGGTTGGAGAGCTCAACAGTGCAGCCGCGGGAACAGGTGAGACCCCATATGCGGCAATATTGTGGCCAAGTTTTACAGCGAGACTCAACCGTACGGCCTCATTGTAAAAGTATGTTGACAGTTATTCGTTTTGATTCGCTGCATACATGTTTATGATGCCTGTGGACAGTTATTGAGCTTGTGTGTAAACAGAAGCAGGGCTTACTGTTGACTATAGCTGTAGGTAATATGGAGGCCATGGCAGCTTGCTGGGGCAGGAGCTGGATGGTGTCCAGAAGGCGTGCTGGGTACATGCCCTCACCGAGAGACATGTGATTGACCGCCTGCAATCGAGAGTCAAAGTCCACTGCGAATGCCACCAGCTCTTCACCTTCCATCATGTTCTTGGTCGTGGTGCACCACAACTGACCACCTGCGTGAGACAAGAAAACACACATTATCACTGCTGCATTTAGACACTTAAGTTTCAAAAGTATGCAAATGTTTCACATGTAAAAACTGATTTAAACATGGAGTAGTTTGATCAGTTTTTATGATGCATTTAAATGAATTTAAAAGAGAATTAATTACTCCTGATTCTTTAAAGATGAAATGTGTACTTCTCTCCTTCCGCATTATACATGTGAATAATTTGCAGCATAGTAAAAATATTTCAAATAAATGTTATTTTGAACTTGCTATTCATCAAAGAATCTTAAAGAAATGTATTATGGTTTCTAACAAAATATTAAGCAGAGCAACTGTTTTCAAAATGTTTCTTTAGCATAAAATCAGCATATTAGAATGATTTCACTGAAGACTGGAGTAATGATGCTGAAAATTCATCTGTCTTCACAGGAATAAATGACATTTTAAAATATATTATAATAGAAAACTGTTATTTAAAATTGTAATAATATTGAACCGTTTTTACTGTATTTTTGATCAAATAAATGCAGCCTTGGTGATCATAAGAGACTTCTTTTAAAAACATTAAAAATCATACCAACCCCAAACGTTTGAACTTTAGTCTGTAATATATTTAAAATTCTAAATTGTAGTTTAGAATAGTTTTTATTCTATAGTTTTTGCATGCATTATTTAACATTTATTTAAATATTATTTTATATAAATTATTATACATTTTCCACACACATTTATTTACTTTTTGCATCAAACGCTAAGTTTACTGGAAATTATACAGGTATTATAATTAAACAGGAAAATGCCATACAGGACAGCCTTAAATTCATAAAACAAAAAGTTTTATTGGAAAATGACCATAAAACAACATTTGTCCAAAGGAATTTGGGGAGTATTCAGGAAACAAAAACAAATCACTCTTTTTGCAATTTTCATAATGTTATGCACTTCATCTTTAATTAATCATGTTGCTCTAAAGGGATGGTCAATATTTACGGTCTACTGTACATTTCAGTTCAGATCAAACACTCTCTGAATACATTCAGAAAAGAAAAGAAGGAAGGGATAGACGGGAAGTCAGTGAAGGGTTTAAGCTCAGATAGCATTTATCATTGCACACGGACGGATTTCAGACACACTTCATTTGCCATTCAAGAGATTAAAGTTTTAAATATGATTATTTACAAACAAATCTGGCTTCTGAGATAACAACAAACTATGATACGCAGATGCTAAATGGCAGAATTAGGACATTGTATCAGTAGGGAAGCTGGACAATTAATTAAAGCTCTCAGAGATGTGCAAACACACTGACGGAGCTTCAGAGAGGAAGATGAGCTGCACTTTCAGAGCAGCTGTTGGAAAGGTAAGGAGTGAAAAAGAAAGGGAATGAAATTCCTGAAAATGGTCTGAAAGAATGATACTGCACAGTGCGAGTCGTTTGACTCATTGCCTATTCAACTACTCTTCTGGACAACTAGCTGGCTAATAAAAATAAGCTAACAAGCACACATTTAAGGAGAAACCTTAGGATGAAATGATTTAATAATCACTGTATTTTCAAGGGGTGCTCAAAAATGAAAGATATCATACAATCAGTTCAGATATATAAAAAGAAGAAAGTTGGAGAATAAATGGCTTTCTATGCAGGCGCTGACTGCGAAAGCTTCTGTGTTAGAAATGCTGCCTGAAAGAGCAGCTTATCATGGTGTGAATCTGCAGCGGGGAGACACGCTCTTCAGACGGGTCCTCTTCATCAGCAGGATCCTGTCACACACCACACACTGCCTGGAGAGGCTCTCTCCTTCCTTATCTCCTAATTAAAATAACAAAAACTGCCGTCGCCATCAGCGCAGATCAAAACTGTCACCTGCACCAGCAGGAGGGCGCAGGTCTCCTCTGCCTGCTCAGAGTACTGCTGGAAGTTGCATGAAGAACTCATTACTTGCACTAGAAAAGAAGGCAGAAATGTGATGTATGCAGGGCACTGCTGCATTGTGGGATGGTCCGTGAGTTGTGGCGTCAAAACGGATCATTGGCAAACTTTGAGACTGCCCAGAAATAAGGTGCAATAAAAATCAGAACAATATTAGTGTTGCTGTCATGTCCTTCTCCAATGCGGATGTTTTTGCGGCTGCGAGGTGAGTTTTACAGCAGTGCTTTTCAACTCGTTTTGCTTCAGGTTTTAAGATTCTACATCAGACATCAAGTGGCAATCCAACGCATTACATACAGTATCATACAAGTGTTATTTTAGTATTGTTTATATAATATTGCAGTATTTATTAATATTTAGAATTAGCTTTTATGTTTATATTTAAAGTTTTCATTTTAAAGTGCTTTTCTCATTTATATTAGTATATATATATATATATAGAATATGCTTTAAAAATTGGAATTATAAGTATAATTATTATAAATATATTATAATTAATAATGTCAACAAATATCAGCAAATTCTAAATTATTATAATGAAAATTTTTTTAAATGCATGAAGAAATACAGAATTGATTTATAATACAAAATATAATGGGAATATAATATATAATATTAATATATGAAAAAAATCTATAGATTATTTAAAACCAAAATGTAGTTCCTACATTTCTCTAAACTTTGATGTTTTCATACTTTCAGCAACTAATGGCAGATGAAAATACTGTACACTGGATGGATGACCTTTGACCTCAACAGCAAAAGATAAGGGAAATGCTTTCTGCTGCCTATTAAATGCTGATTTTAGGTGCTATCCATAATTATATGGTTAGTTGCATTTGTAATTATTAGTATTTAGCATTTCCCCTACAATAATGTGACCCTATCAGAACATACTTGCAACCTACCAGTTAAAAAGCACAGTAGCCCATTATCATCTTGGATATAAAATGTTTGCATTTTTAATCAAATTTTGTTAAAACATTCTTAACTTTTGACAGTCTAGTAAAAAATAGAGAGAAAAAAATGCATGATGTTACTTCAAGTTTGTCCATCACTCTGGAAATGACAGTTCAACTTAAGCGCTTTGCATTGTGGGATGAATGGAATGTATTTTGTATTCTGTACATTTTTGGCAAAAGCAGTAGAAAATTAGCATACTGTGCAGCATAATGTGAGTCTTTTAAATACTGCAGAAATAATAAGAGTAATATGCCAATATTCTATGTCAAACAAAGCCTAACTTCATGCAGTGATGAACAAAAGGCTGGCTCGAACCCTTCACAGGTGTGGGCAATCAGTGTAGAAACATTTCCAACTGATTCTCCTCAACTCAAGGTGCTCGCAGGGCCAAAAAGTCCAACTTAAACAACATCCACAGTTGGGATGAAGACTTCCTGTCTGTGCCATTGGAAGTTCACACACTGAAATACACAGGTCGATGGGCGGCCCTAAAGCGAGAGTGCATGCTCAGGAGACACGGGACCCCAGCTGAAAAGCGTAGCCAGCACCGTGCTGCTTTCGCCTGGGAGCTGTCTGCAGCAGAAGGCCTTTGTGCCGCGGCCAACGCAGTCGCAATGAAGCCTATTGTCTCTGTCCTCCTGCAGCGCACCTGATAAAAGAATAAAGAACTATGACATATTCCAAAAACAATGGAGGAATTAAGGACACACAATAAGCCAGCTGCTTCATTAAAACAATCAAAACCCGGTATCCTGTACACAGTCCAGATAACTTCTTTTCATACAATCTCCCGCTATAGAATCCACTAGCGCGGGCTCATCCTCGCTGCCCAAACTCCCCCCTCGTTCACACTAATGATGCTTTTAAACACTTACTTAAAGATGTTCACATAAAGGAATTACAGGAGAGTTCAGCATTATGCAATTACAGGATGAGCCACAGAAGCCCTCAAAGGCGCCTAATGCAGGGCACGGGCACTTTGAATGATCACTTTAAAAGATCGAGCGTGTTGCAAAAGCACAAAACAAGCCTTTCTAGCTCTCGTTTGCTTTCTCTTTCTGTCTTTTTGTGGCAAAAGCCGACAGAAGGGTTGGCTAATGGACTGGCCGGAGGACAGCTACTCAAATGTTTGCATGTGTAAATAGTGAAAGACTTTAATAGTTTGTTGTAAAATGCATAGTTAAACATATCCGTGTTTGTTTCTCCCATCTGTCCAGAAAAACGGCTGCATCAGAGGCCGTAACGGCGGTGTGGAGCACAAACCTTAACGCTACGCCAGAAATGACACTGCCAAAAATTAATCTGGGACAAAGGAAGGCAAATACATCCTTTATATTTTGTGACAATAAAGGTGTATTTGATGTTTAAATTGTATTTCATCCTTCCAGAAAGATCAGGCAGCTTTTACCTTCAGACATTCAGTAATTCATTCACTACAGCTGGAGCAAAAAAAATAAAAAAATAAAAAATTATTAATTAAAATAAAAAAAAAAATATTGGTTATTAGAACAGAACAATGCATCTCATAACTTTAGCTTTACTAGCAAGCTGCTAAAAGTCAAGTATGAAGTATTTTGAGACCGCTAGACTTCAAGTAGTTAAAAACATAAAAGACTTTCAGTTTTGTCTCTATATCAGAATAAAAGGCATAAAAATAATCTAATAGCAGCAAACAACAAGTGACTGAATAGTTGCTCATTTTTTGTCCTCAGAAATAGATGTTCCAATTTAAAACCTGAATGAAAAGGAAACAAACACAGAGGTCCTAAAACGACCAACAAAATAAGTTTCAAAATCAAAATAAAATGAAAAAATTGATAGTTTTTGCTTTATTTAAAGCATGTTATAGTCATAATGAGTGTAAGTGGTTTACCACGTGGAGTAATTTCCAATTCAATCAATTCCCATTGGATGCAATCAATTCCCTCCCTACATTCTTTCTAGTTGAGTATTGTGTTTCACTTAGAAATGCATCAGGTTATGGAAGTAAAATGGGTTGCATTTCATGCTGGCTTTGAAAAAACCTTGCCTGGTTAAGACTGAACTCAGTACAGCAATGAAATACTGTAGGTACTGCTTTGCTGACACTAATTTTGAACTACTTGTGAATG